GTAGTTATTTAAGTTATGGATAATTTATGGGGAGTAGTCTATTAGTTGTTAAGGTTACGGTTAGGTTGTTAAGCTGTTAACTAAGCCTTCACCATAACAATTTAGCCATAAGCATAACTATTTAAATGTAAATAGAACAACTTAAACCATAACCATGATAGCAAAACCATAATCTCAAGAACAAAGCCATAACCATAACAACTAAGCTGTAACCATGTGAACTAAGCGATGACCATAATGACTAAACATTAACCATAACAACTTAGCCATAACCTTAACAACCAATCCATAACCTTAATAACCAAGCCCTAAACTTAACAACCAATCCACAACCTTAACAACCAATTCATAACCTTGACAACCAAGTCCTAACCGTAACAACCAATCCATAACCTTAACAATCAGTTTATAACCCTAACAGCCAAAGAATAACCTTACCAACTAAGCTGTAACATTAATAACGTTGCCTTAAGCTTAACAACAAAACCATAATCTGAATGCACAACATTATAACAGACATTCCAAAAGGGTATCATCCAAAACATATTATTAGATGCTAATACAAAATGTTACTAAGTAATACATAAGTTTAGCAACTAGATAGGCTCGTTGCAAGTTTGTCGATTGTGACATTCCATGTGGCAGCGGGAGGACTTAACAGGATGGGTATTCAATGACCTGTTGTTTATTTGTCTAGTACATGGTCTTCCACGACTTTTTTTAGTAAGGGGAGGCTTTAACAGACAATTTTTGGGCGGTACAACACCCTTATTGTAATCTAGAATAGGAAAGAGGATCGGTTTGTAAGTTGCTCTGAATGCTTCAACCGTCATAAACCAATCATAATATTGATAAATGTCTCGGCCCATCCAAGTAATTACAGCACAAGCGTGCTTGCAAGTAATGCGGGTGATATCCCAAAACCTGCATGAACATGTCCGATTCTTCAAATCTACACGACACGTTTTATTAGATTCAACCTCCACAATATCTTCTATCGAATATTTAATATGCAAACAACTTCCATGATGAATATTATCACTCAACACTATCTCTGCTTCTGGACGTAAGTATGCAGACTATTTTGCTGCCATAAGCCTTCTTTCATACACGCGCTTCATGATTTGCTTTCGTATCGTCTCCACCAAAGGTAAGATTCGTAACATTTGTGCCTTTCTTATCCAACAATTGAAGGACTCAGTAACGTTCAAAGTAACATGACCATACTTGTAAATCACATGAAAAAAAATTCAACTAAGATGTAAGCATAACAACTAAGAAGTAACATTAACAACCAAAAAACTAACCTTAACAACGAAACGATAAACTTAACAACAAAACTCTAACCTTAACAACGAAATGTTAAACTTAACAACAAAACTCTAACCTTAACAACCAAAATCTAACCTTAATAATAAATCTGTAGACGTAACGACAAAACAGTAACCTTAACAACTAAACTGTACGCTTAACAACCAAAACCTAACCTTAACAACAAATCTATAGACTTATCGTAACCTTAACAACTAAAATGTAGCATTAACAAATAAAGTTTACTCAATGTTATCATACATTATACCAGGAAAATAAGCATTTACCCATCTCTCCGGGGAGTATTCCATTGCGGTATCATAAGCCCTTTAATCGATCGATGCTAATTCTTGCATGTAATCATCTCATTCGAAAATTGTGTACTTATAAGCCGCAGTTTGTAATAAATCACCCAAAATTTGAGTGACATTTGCCTTGTGACCTAACTTCTTCCTCTCTTTTTTTAATTCTTGACTAGATGCAGAACACACCTTAAATGGAAAGTATCTGAAAAGAATTCCTCGGTTGCTACCCTAATACTCTTGTCGGCATCAGAAATCATTACCAGTTGATGTGGAGGATTGTAAGGCTTTTCCTTATCAAATAGTATCGTCCACAATCATTGTAAGAACCATTTCTAATTATCCTCATTCTCTTAGTCGCATATGCAATAAGAAAGAAAAAATATTCCTTGGTTGTCGTCATATCCTATGACACTAAGTAGTATACCTTTGTAGCGGTCTTTAAGAAATGTTCTATCCAAAAACAAGAGAGACCTACACCCAGTAACGAAACCTTCAATACAAACATTATAACTTATGAACAAACACCTAAACCTTCCGTCATTAGGATCAATAGCAACACGACTTCCTGGATTAGTTGCTAGAACCATGGCTTCATACCTGCATAAGTATAACAACAAAGCAGTAACCTTAGCAACAGATTCATAACCTTCACAACAACTCATAACCGTAACATCCAACACATAAACTTAACAACAAACACATAAACCTAACAACCAACTAATAGCCCTAATAACCAATCCATAATCATAACAACCAATCAATAACCTTAACAACCAACTCATATACTTAACAACAAACGCATAACCTTAACAATCAAAACATAAGGTTAGCAACCAATACATAACCTTAACAACTAAAATGTAATGTTAGCAACCAATACATAACCTTCACAACTAAAACATAAGGATAAAAGAATGTACCATCTTAGTGAATCGTAAGTCTCATCATCATCACCGAACAGGTCCTGTTGTGCTCTCTCTTTGCTTTGCCATGCTTTACAGTAGTTAATCTTGATGTCATATGTGAGAACAAGTCATTCTTGATATCAATTGGACGAAGATCTGGCCTAACCTTCAAACAGATTGTATTTAGCTTGCAATAAACTTTCTTGATGCCTTTGAGTTTCCAGCATTAGCTCTGTGTTGACCGCAAGTGTGGGTAGAACATAAATTTTTTATAGACATAATTAAAGAATTTCTGAGTGGGGAAGCAAACAACATCCAAGGGCAACCCAGCGTGTGCCTGAATCGGCAATGGACTCTTATACATCTTTGTTTATTATAGTAAAAATCATACTCGAACCTTTTCGCAATTGAGTAGTATTGAAATGCTAATCTGATTTTAGTAGCACAATCAAATTTCTGACCAATTTCACGTATGGTTGTGTGTCACTCAGCTGGGATCTTGGTTTAGTTGTTAATCATGTCTTCCATCATCATGATCGATCCACCAGTGGGATTGTCATTAGGATTACACTCATCATTACGTGTTTGGGTGAGCGTAGCAGCTGGGCATCGCGAATTTTCTGTCGGGATAGTCCTGTAAAACTAAAAAAAACATTAATACTTAACAACCAACCGTAACCTTAGCAACCAGCTCATAAGGCTAACAAAAACTCATAAATATCTGCTAAGGTTAACAGTCAATCTATAACCTTAACAACTAAGCCCTAACCTTAACAACCAACACATAACATTAACAATAAACTCGTAACCTTAACAACAAACTCATAACCTTAGCAACCAACTTGTAAACTTAACAGCGAACTCATAACCTTGGCAACTAACTTAAAACTATCTCATAAAGGTTGGCATACATCTCATAACCTTAACAACCAACTAGTAAACCTTGACAACCAACTCATAACCTCTGCAACAAATGCATAAGGTTAACAACCAACTCATAACCTATCAACGAACTCATACGGAAATTAAAAGTAAAATGCTTACACATTTTCTGAAGAAGTTTGGGTGTTCTGAGAAGTTGAGGATTCCCCAGCGGAGGTAGCATACAAGTTTATGTCCGTAAATCCATTACGACGATAATACTCGAACATCAACCTCAAGTCGTCGTCATTATCAATTGAAAAACTGAACTTCTTATCCCTTTCGGATATGCATTTCAGTGAAAGAGATTGCAATGGTAGTTTAAGCCTTTCTGACATTTGATATTTCAATCTAATAATTTCTGTAGACTCGTTGATAACTACGAAAACAAACTCACCCTCTTCGTTACTTTTTGTGTTTGTAAACATGCAAAGAAGTGATCCATTCGTCATTTTAAAGAAGAGTAGTTGAAAAATCAAAGAGTATTATTAAGGAGAATTAAGTGGGCGAGAGAGAGTAGTTGGGGTAAGCAAAAGGGGAGGAGATGGATTTACTGCAGTGGAGGAAAAGAAATGGTAATAATTTGGAGGGAAATGAGGGTTTTTCCCTCCAAAACCATATTCTAATCACCATTTAATGCTACAATACTACTGTTGACTCTCCGATATCCGACTTGATAGAGTGACCGACTGCATGAGAGCATTTTGGGAATATTTTTTTTGTTTTTACACATCGAATCACGTGGGAGAAGAGTTTTGGGGGCTAAAGGAATTTCGTGATGGCTTTGGGGGGCTTTGGGACTATTGGAAAAGTCGGGCGGGGGAGGGGGGGAGCGGAATACTTGAATTGGTTTTGGGGGCTAGAAACAATTTTCCCTTGAAGTAATGTTCATGCTATAGTAAAAATACTGTAGCATAACATAAAATATTTTTGCTACAGTATTAATATTTGGATCATTCTTTTAGATATAATTTCTAAATCAAATGTATTAAAACTTGGATCATTTTTTAAGTATAAAGGAGTAAATATGAATTCTACATCAAATGTATTAAACTTGCATTCTTCTTTAAATATAGAGAAGTAGATATAATTTCTAATTTTAAGCATATAATAATAAATCAAATGCATTAAAACTTAAAGGGAAATTCAAAATGCAGTGCTTAAAAAAACAGGGGGCCGTTCTTTGCACGGGGTGCACACTAGTATATCAAATACAGAAGAAACACCTTACACAATAACACAGCCACATATTATACCTGAAGACTCTAGGAAAACCAAGTCTAACGCTTGTGGTTAACTATCGAAAAAACAAAAATGCCTCGTTAATAATTCCCGATGTCATGCTTGTGTTCTTATGGGCGTGCAACCAAGGGAGGATAGAAAATTGGAGCAGGTGTACAACCGGCCGTATAGATGGAAGTAATTTGGCCCGGCATAAATAAGCCAAAAAATGTATCCTTCTTTTCCTCCATAATCCCGATTATTATTTTGATGGAACGTTAGAAGTGCGCTTGACCAGTCTCCCCGATGCCCGTTAAGCTAGCAAACGACAGTCAAAAGTCCTAATAGTACAATTTATCACAGAAACTACCATACATAATTCAATATATGGAGACATAATTTTCAAATCCAAGATTCAAATTCCTATACCAGGAAAAAAAAAACATAAAAACACATTTATATGAACATTATGCAACTTCACAGTTTTCTGAACAAGTTCTACTTGTTCAATCAAATGGCCCAAAACCAAGAGAAAACTGAACCAGCAGCCAAACCAAGAACCAGGAACAGCACTATCACAATCCCAGCAGTCTCAGAATGCTGTATCGGCACACTTTTGGGAGCAAGAATCATCAATACAGCTGTAAAATATCCATTTGTCAATCCAAGGAGACACGTCAATATTGTGACCGGTATTTCTGTTCTGAAAAACTTGGGACCATGCAAGCAACCGAAAAATAGAGGATAAAACAGTAGTCTTGCAACAGAGGCGGAGACTGCAATGTTTGCGTTCTCAATGGGAAAGACTGCAGGCAGAATCTTCCCTATGAGATCAAACACATTGTATCCAGTGATGAGTAAAATTGGGTACCAGTCTTTCAAGGCTTCAGAATGCACATCTTCAGTGATATAACCGGGAAATATTGAGAGGGTAACAACATATATAAGAAATACTCCAAAACCAAATGATTTGGTTCTTGCTATTATGTTCCATAAGGTCAATCTCCAGGCCGATCCACTTAAGGAACCTTTCTCATTGCTTTCCTCTTTCAGAGCTTGCATTTTGATTTGTTTGTAATGTTTTACAACAGGGAGCCTGTCTGCAATGTTATAGCAAATGAGACATATGACCATTACTGCAATACTGACTCCAAAATAGAGGTTTGCGCTCTTTCTCAATCCGTAAGCATCTTGCAGGAATATGGACTTGGTGATAACTCTCATGGCTGAAACGAGTACCCCTACAATAACATAAACATACATTGGTTATTGCCTTTTAGCAATGATTTGAATGGCATTGTTCCAAATACAAGGAAGAAAATTCTAAAAGCAATCAGGATATTTGTTTGGAAGCAAGGACACCTCACAAAAATCAATACATGGTATTTGCATCTCATATTCATACTTGTTATGATATCATATGAATATTTGGAGGCTAAATTTCTTACCAAGTTGCAAACACTATGCTATCAAATAATCAAGTGATCTGTTATATTCTGAAACAAAGTTCAGCTGGTTGAGAACTCTCAATTGCAGCCTGGTGGCATCAGATTGGGCACATATATAATGATGTGTCATTTATGACATCCTTGCCTCTCCTTGTAAGATGATTGCAGCTATTTCACTCTTCCTATTCATCATCACAAAATCTTTCTTAAGGCATTAACTTCTAAGTGCTAAAGAATGTGACAAACAAGTAAAATGTGAGCCATGAATTGAAAGAAGCACCCATAGTACATCGTCTTGCCTCTTGATTCTGCATTGATCTAACAAATTTTTCACGGTGTAATGCCAGTTGCATATCTCCTTTTAATTCTACATTGACCTGATAAACTGTTAGTTTGGCCTCAAGGCGGTAAGTTATTGAAGTTTGTTCTAAATTACACAGCACAGCTAGTCATTTCACATGTTGCCCGTGAGTTAAGAGTGAGAAAAACAAGTAACCCAGAGTCTTATTAGACGCTACTGAGTACTTTTTATTCCACTGAGATGAGATAGGACATTGAGAATATATATTCTGAGCAAATGTTAAAATGTCTGATGTTCCCAGCAAATTAGCCAAAGACCTTCAGAAGCGAGAGCAATTCATAATGCAAGTGAAAATTAAAATTAAATCTAACAGTTGATAACCAGGCATAAAACGTCATTGAAATTGTATTCATGCTTTAAAACTTGTGCATTCAAAATAATTATTCCTTAGCATACCACATATTAGAAACTTAAAATCAGCAGGAGCAAGAATCATCAATACAGCTGTAAAATATCCATTTGTCAATCCAAGGAGACACGTCAATATTGTGACCGGTATTTCTGTTCTGAAAAACTTGGGACCATGCAAGCAACCGAAAAATAGAGGATAAAACAGTAGTCTTGCAACAGAGGCGGAGACTGCAATGTTTGCGTTCTCAATGGGAAAGACTGCAGGCAGAATCTTCCCTATGAGATCAAACACATTGTATCCAGTGATGAGTAAAATTGGGTACCAGTCTTTCAAGGCTTCAGAATGCACATCTTCAGTGATATAACCGGGAAATATTGAGAGGGTAACAACATATATAAGAAATACTCCAAAACCAAATGATTTGGTTCTTGCTATTATGTTCCATAAGGTCAATCTCCAGGCCGATCCACTTAAGGAACCTTTCTCATTGCTTTCCTCTTTCAGAGCTTGCATTTTGATTTGTTTGTAATGTTTTACAACAGGGAGCCTGTCTGCAATGTTATAGCAAATGAGACATATGACCATTACTGCAATACTGACTCCAAAATAGAGGTTTGCGCTCTTTCTCAATCCGTAAGCATCTTGCAGGAATATGGACTTGGTGATAACTCTCATGGCTGAAACGAGTACCCCTACAATAACATAAACATACATTGGTTATTGCCTTTTAGCAATGATTTGAATGGCATTGTTCCAAATACAAGGAAGAAAATTCTAAAAGCAATCAGGATATTTGTTTGGAAGCAAGGACACCTCACAAAAATCAATACATGGTATTTGCATCTCATATTCATACTTGTTATGATATCATATGAATATTTGGAGGCTAAATTTCTTACCAAGTTGCAAACACTATGCTATCAAATAATCAAGTGATCTGTTATATTCTGAAACAAAGTTCAGCTGGTTGAGAACTCTCAATTGCAGCCTGGTGGCATCAGATTGGGCACATATATAATGATGTGTCATTTATGACATCCTTGCCTCTCCTTGTAAGATGATTGCAGCTATTTCACTCTTCCTATTCATCATCACAAAATCTTTCTTAAGGCATTAACTTCTAAGTGCTAAAGAATGTGACAAACAAGTAAAATGTGAGCCATGAATTGAAAGAAGCACCCATAGTACATCGTCTTGCCTCTTGATTCTGCATTGATCTAACAAATTTTTCACGGTGTAATGCCAGTTGCATATCTCCTTTTAATTCTACATTGACCTGATAAACTGTTAGTTTGGCCTCAAGGCGGTAAGTTATTGAAGTTTGTTCTAAATTACACAGCACAGCTAGTCATTTCACATGTTGCCCGTGAGTTAAGAGTGAGAAAAACAAGTAACCCAGAGTCTTATTAGACGCTACTGAGTACTTTTTATTCCACTGAGATGAGATAGGACATTGAGAATATATATTCTGAGCAAATGTTAAAATGTCTGATGTTCCCAGCAAATTAGCCAAAGACCTTCAGAAGCGAGAGCAATTCATAATGCAAGTGAAAATTAAAATTAAATCTAACAGTTGATAACCAGGCATAAAACGTCATTGAAATTGTATTCATGCTTTAAAACTTGTGCATTCAAAATAATTATTCCTTAGCATACCACATATTAGAAACTTAAAATCAGCA